TCAATAAAGATTTACAGTCTGAGAAGCCCTGTGGGACATTTCTGCTCTGTCCTTATAGGGTCACTATGATTGGAATTAACTGGATGGCAGTAGTCGGTTATTGGTAAGGAGCTCTGCTGGTGAAGTGGCTAAGAGTTCGACTGCTAATGGAAAAGCTGGAGGTCTGAACCCACTAGTGACTCTGTAGGAGAAATCTGTGTCAAGTCTGCTTTTGTAAAGATCAAAGTCTTGGAAACCCATGAGGTGGCTGTACACTGTCCTGTAGTGTCGCTCTGAGTAGGAATTGACTAAATGGCACTGGGTCTTGTTTTATTTTGGAGAACGCTGGTGACTAATGGGTAAAGACAGAATCAGGTAGTTAAATATTGTAGGTAGCTCCTTTCTTTGTAAGTGATACAAATAGATCTTCATAAAGAGCAGTCTCTTTCTCTCTCTCTGTGTCTTTTTTAATATGGGTCTTACCTTGCACCTCCCGAAGTTCTTGATTATTAAACTTTAGAAAAGTCTCAAGGTTCTTTATGATATTCAGAGCCATGGGCGAATTTCCTGAAATCGAGTAAGGCACAATGGTTCGACCGTATTGACTCAAATCCATTTTTCTGGGAGATAGCTCTTCAGTTAAATCCACAATTTTTAAGAGGTATGTTGCGAAAAACACAATTACCAATAATTGTAGCAACATCAACTTCCAGTTGCGCCAACTGAATAGTACCCTTTTTACCAACATGGAACGAAATTGCTGGCAATAAAGTGGAAACTAAAACCAGGAGAGACACATAGCATTAAAATGGTTAATGAACAAAGTATGATATTCACGATAAAACTCTAAGAAAAAAATGTATCAACATTTTGTGGTAGAAGATATACAGATATACATGGATTAGATAAACAATAAAAATGTATAAACAGTTTCATTTGTATATAATATCAGATAAGAGGATTAAAGCCTGGCTTCTGATCTAACTACTTGAATGTGATGAATGTGATGCCTTTCCTCTTCAATTTGTCATTCCATATGTAGTAAACCAAGTGATTGTCAGATTCAAAATGGCCTATACTAGTCCATTTCAGCTGACTAATGCATAGGATATTGATTTTTATGCATTCCATTTAGTTTTTGACAACTTCCAATCTTCTAGATTCATACTTCATACATTCCATGTTCCAATTATTAATGGATGTTTGTGGTTGTTTCTTCTCATTTTCAGTTGTGCCCCATCAGCAAATGAAGGTTCTCAGAGCTTTCCGTCATTCACATCATCACGATTAACTCTCCTTTGAGGAGACAGTTCTTCTCCAGTTGTATTTTGAGTGCCTTTCAACCTGCATCTTCTGGCACTCTATCTGACAATATTCTGGTGCTTTTCATCATGTTTCAATATTCAGTGTCCTGGTGCTATCTGATAGTTGTTGTTGTTGAGTTCCATGGATTCGATTCCGACCCATAGCGACCCTGTATAGGGTTTCCAAGGAGCAGCTGGTGAGTTTGAACTGCTGACCTTGCAGTTCACACGGCTTTGCAGTCTGGCGCATTAACACACAGTGCCACACCAGGACTCCACTATCTGATAGTGTCTCACGGTTATTCTTTAAGGTTTTCAATGGCTAAACATTCAGAAGCAGTCTGTCTCTCCTTTTTCCTTGTCTGTCTTAGTCTGGAGGCTTAGCTGAATCTTGGCTATCATGGGTCACTCTGTTGGTATTTAAAATACCAATGGCATAACTTCCAGCATCACAGCAACACAGAAGCTACCACAGCACAACAAATAGACAGATGAATGGTGGCTGATGCTCATGCAACAATTACTTTGGGTAAAAGAATTACCTCTATGTTTTCTTCTTAGAGTTTTTTGGTTTCAGTTCTTACATTTAGGCCTTTGATACATTTAAAATGAATTATTGTGTATGGTGTGAAATACAGATCCAGGGTTATTCTTTGGTATGTGGCAATGCAGTTGTTTGACTTTCTTTATTAATGCTTACCTGTGCTTTACTGACTATGCAAAGGCTTTTGACTGTGTAAATCATAACAAACTATGGATAACATTGTGAAAAACAGGAATTCCAGAACACTTAAATGTGTTCATATAGAACCCCTTCAAAGACCAAGAGGCAGTTGTTCAAATGAAACAAGGGGATACTGCCTGACCTAAACCCATGAAAGTATATGCCAGGGTTGTATCCTGTCATTACACTTATCCAATGTGTATACTCAGCAAATAATCCAAGAAGCTGGAGTACTTCAGAATCTGGAGCCAATAATCCATGAAGAACACGGCAGCAGGATTGGAGGAAAGCCCATTAACAATCTGCAGTATACCAATGACACAATATTGCTTGCTGAGAGTGAAAGGATGGGAAGCACTTGATGATGAAGATCAGAGAAGCAGTCTCGCTATGGATGACAGCTCAATTCAAAGAAAGCAAAAATCCTCACAACTGGACCAATAAACATGGTGACAAATGGAGAAGAGACTGAAATCGTCAAGGATTTAACTTTATGTGGATCCACCATCAATTTCATGGAAGCAGAGGCCATGAAACCTAATGATGCATTGGGTAAATCTGCTGCATAAGACCTCTTTAAAGTGTTAAAGTGTAAAGATATCACTCTGAGGACAAAAGTGCACCTGACTCAAGTCAGGATGTTTTCAATGACCTCATATGTATGTGAAAACTATTCAACGAATAAGGAAGGTCAAAGAAGAATTGAATCATTTGAATTGTAGTGTTGGTGAAAATACTGAAAGTACCATGCACTACCAGAACAAATAAAACTGTAGGAAGAAGTACAGCCAGAATGCTCCTTAGAAGCACTGAATACTAATTAGAAATTAAGAGTTTTATAAGTAAAAAATCAAAAGGGATAAACATGCTCAGCATTTCTCAAACTGAAAGAGTTGAAGAAAAAATTCAAGCCTGACTGGCCATATTGACGGATTCTCTGGGTGTATGGAATCCTGGTTTGGCATATGGGCACATGGAGACTTGTGAAGTGCTGTGGGTTAATGTGCTGGCCTGTGAGGTCAGTTTGAACCACAAGGTCATTGATGGTACTGATTGAAACACTAAATTGGCAAAGCCCAGTTCCTCCTGGTTCTCATTCAGATAATTAAACAGAGCTACAAACCCAGAAGTGGAAGAGGAAAAAAGAACACTAGCAGAGATGAATTTTCAGTATTCATTTGTTCCAAAATAATGTCCTCTTGTTGCTGTTGTTAAGTGCCATCGAGTCAGTTCTGGTCCATAGTGACCCTGAATAGGGTTTCTGAGGAGCAGTTGGTGAGTTTGAACCACCAACTTTGCAGTCGAAACCGACTTTGCAGTCCAGTGCATTAACCTGCAGCACCACACCAGGGCTCCTCTTAGTACTGGGACAAAATGCTTGCAGATGGAAGTTCACTGCAATGCTTATCGAGACACAAAAGTAAAGGATTTACCTCAGCAAATTTCTTGCCAATGTAACTTGATCTTTGATACACACTACTTTGTTTTCCTAACAAAATTACTGATTTTCTGTATATGTTAAGGACTATACGAGTCTTGGTGTGGCGCTGTGGGTTAAGGAGCTAGACTGCAAAGTTGGTTTGAACCGCAAGGTCGGTGGTTCAAGCTCACTGGCTGCTCCTTGGAAACCCTATAAAGGGTCGCTATGAGTAGGAACAAACTTGATGGCACTTGACAACAAAAACAACATGGGTGTAATATTGAAATGATGCAGAAAGCATCAAAAGAAGATGGAAGGAGTACACAGAGTCACTGTGCCAAAAAGAAACAGTTGATTTTCAACTATTTCAAAAGAAAGCATATGATCCAGAACCCGTGGTACTGAAGGAAGATATCCAAGCTACACTGAAAGCACTGGTGAAAACTAAGGTTCCAGGAGTTGACGGAATACAAACGGATGCAGCAATGGAAGCACTCACTCATCTATGACAATGCATTTCCAACGCATTGGTAGTCAGCAAGGTAATTAGTCAGCTACCTGGCCAGCTGACTGGAAGCTATCCATACAGTGCTCATTCCAATGAAATGTGGAAGTCGTTGAACAATACCATTAATATCACAAGCAAGTCAATTTTTGCTGAAGATAATTCAAAAACAGTTCCAACGGTACATTGACAGGGAACCTTCAGAAATTCAATCATGACAAATTATGGATAACAATGTGAAGAATAGGTATTCCAGAGCATTTCATTGTGCTTATTAGGAACCTGTACATGGATCAAGAGGCAGTTGTTAAACTGTACAAGGGAATGATGAGTGGTTTAAAATCAGGAAAGCCACATGCCAGGGCTGTATCCTTTCACCATACTTATTCAATCTGTATGCTGGACACATAATCTGGGAAGCTGGATATAATGAAGAAGAATATGGCATCAGGATTGGAGGAAGACTCAGTAACAACCTGCAGCATGCATATGATATAACCTTGCTTGCTGGAAGCAAAGAGGACTTGAAATACTGAAGAAGCTAAAATACTTTAATATGACTTGACATCAGTGTAAAGTAAACAAAGATCCTCACATTTTGACCAATAAATAACATCATAATAAATGGAGAAAAGATTATTAAATACTTCATTTTGCTTGGATCCACAATCAACACTCATGAAAGCAGCAGTCAAGAAAATCAAATGACCTATTGCATTAGGCATATCTGCTGCACAAGACCTTTTAAAACATTCAAGAGCAAAGAGATAAGTTTGAGGACTAAGGTGCGCCTGACCCAAGTCATGGTATTTTCAATTGCCTCCTATGCATGTGAAAGTTGGATTATGAATAAAGAAGATCATAGAAGAATTGATGTATTTGAGTTATGGTGTTGGATAAAAAGATTTAAATTACCATGGATTGCCAGAAGAGCAAGTAAGTCTGTTCTGGAAGAAGTACAGGCAGCATACACCTTAGAAGCCAGGGTGGTGAGCCCTCATCTCTCATCCTTTATAAATGTTATTAAGTGGGACCAGTCCCTCAAAAAGCACATCATGCTTGGTAGAGTGAAGAGTCAGTAAAATAAAGGATGGACTGACACAGTGCATCAGCAGTAGGCCCAAACGTAACAATTATTAGGATGATGCACGACCTGGCTGTGTTTCATTCTGTTGTGCATTGTGGAGCTTGAAGTTAGAATTGACTCAACAGCACCTAACAATAACAACAACCAACTGTGTGAAAGAAACTGTTAGGTGGGCACAGCCTTCAGATTTTACTTATTGTTCTCTTGCCCTCACTGTAGTATCTTCTTCCTTCTGGAAGGGTTCCAATGTCTACACCAATGATTCAGCATCGCCTTTGAAGGTTTAATGCTATGGGTTCATAGTGACAAATTGTCCAAAACCTGATCAATCAATATCTTCTGAATACAACAGTAATAACTCTAAGGTATTGTTACAAAAGAGAAGAGAGAAAGTATTTAGAATCAGAACTTTTCAAAGTGATCCTGGGAAATAACAATGTTGAGGCTGTGATCTTTAGCTAATACCCATTTCTTATATATTAAGAACTTAATGAGCTTACAGTTCAGACTGTTCCAAATATGACTTGGTCTTCTATGGCTAAATTCCAAACTTGTTTTCAATTCAGATATTAGCAAATTGTATTCCTTATACCCAAACCGAACACACTAGAGTTTACATTCTTAGCGAATATGCTCACCCCAGTATTAAATCTAATAGTAGAAAATTGATTCCAAGTGTTTGAAGTTGATCTGCTGACATTTCGGGCTACACTCATATTCTTGTTCTTGGATAGTCTTCTGTTTTTGCCTTTTGAGGAAGTGTGTTGGATAGCATGACTAGACATTCCGGACTCTGCCAGCTTATTGGCCCTATACACAAACAAAATAGAACAAAGAATTTCATTTTACCCACAGCCTCAATCTATTTTATTTGGGAAATGTTCAGCCAAAGTCCCAAATTTGGAAGGCTCTTTGACTTTTCTCATTGGTAAGCATGAGTTTGTAGAAAGGAAGCATAACATCATCGGTTACCAATAGCTATTCAGAGGACTGCTGCCAATCTATGGCAAAGTCTCTATCAGTTTCAGACAACATGAGAGCAACTATGATAATGTATAGTGTAGCTCACTAAACTGAACTAATTCAAGCTAAAGAACTCAATTTTAATCTAAGATAGTATCTGTACGTTAGGGGTTAAAATGGTCTTTATTTTATGAAATGATGGGGATATTTGTCTTGTTTTTCTTACTACTATATATGCCTGAAGTTGAGTCTGAGTATGGATACTTGGGATAAATGAAGAAATACCATAATCTAAGAGGAAAATACTGGGTAGAATAAGAGAAGAATAAAGAAGTATATAAGGAGACTTTAAAAAGTTTGTGGAAAATTGGAATTAAAAGATAAATATAAACTTTATTTTTCAACATAAGGTCCATCAAGTTCAAGACTCATTTGTAAGTGATGATACAAGTCATTTAGTCCATCTCTAAAGAACTGAGGGTTCTGAGACATCAACCATGTCAATGCAGTCTTTTTAAAAATCGTTGGCTGAATAAAACTCAGTGCCCACTGAAGTTTTTTAAGATTTGAAAACAAAAAAGTCAGAAGGAACCCAATCAGGACCACAAGGTGGATGCAAATGCTTTCCCACTGAGATGCTTGTAAATTACCTTTGTTTGATGAGAGAAACGAGTAGGGATATTATTGTGGCAAAGAAAAACCTCTGGTGGAGCTTTCCTTAACTTTCTAAAGACACTTTGATAATATGTAGATGTTATTATTTTTTGTCTTTCCAGAAAGGTAACAAGCAAAATGACTTGAGCATTCCAAAAAACTGTTACCGTGACCTTTGCTCTTGATCAGTCTGCTTTGATTGGACCACTTTCATGTCTTGGTAGATATTGCTTTGATCTTTCAAGATCTTTCAAGATCTTGAAATCTTGAAATCTTGGTAGATCTTTCAAGATCATACTGGTAAATCTTGTTTCATCTCCTGTTACAATTCTCTTAATAAATGCTTCAACATCTTGATCTCACTTGTTTAAATTTCCATTGATAATCTGCCCTTGAAAGTGTGCTCTACTTTAATTTTTCAGTCAGAATTATGTAAGCAGGACCAACTGAGAAGCCTATGTTGTTGGCTCTTGCTTCTTATGTTAATTGTATGTCTTCTTCAGTAAGAGCACAAACAATATTACTGTTCCTTGCAAACGGATATGGATGGTCTGCTGCTATGGGTTTCATGTTCAACATCGTCTCATCCATTTAAAAAATGAATTATCCATTTGTAAAGTGCTGATTTACTTGGGGCACTGTCTCCATAAACTTGATGTAAAACATCAATAATTTCACCATTGTTTCACACCAGCATCATCATAAATTTGATGCTTATGCATGCTTCAATTTTAGCAAAATTCATGTTTCTCTGATAGAGACTTTTTTGAAACTGATTATCATATTTTTCTTAGTTCCTGAAACTAGATATTGTTCAGAGATGTTATAAGAAATTAATATGAGTTTAATTTGACACCCTCCCAAACTGAAATTCATGGATAATTTTTTAATAATGTGCATGTTTTCATGAGTTTTTTGAAGCCCCCTCATATTACAAAAGACTAATTCTGCCAGTCAAAATGGTAAAATCCGACTTCCGGAAAAAGATGGCGGATCGGGTGGAAGTGTAGTGATGAGCTCTGCCGAGAACAACACAGAATACAGGACCAAGAAGGCTCAGGGAATCGTCCCAGTACTCTGAACCACATATAAAGGAATATCTAGAAGGCTGGAAGACTTACAGCTGGGGAGCTTGTGGCAGAAGCAAGAAATCAATTGCTTCCTGGTTCGGGACGCTCAGCTGCTCCAGTAGCCGCCATTTTGTGAAGGGCCAAGCGGGGAAAGGATCAGAGCAGCCACAGACGCCTGACAGAGCTGCAGAGATAGAGGTGTGGACATTCTTTTTTTCTTTTTTTTTGTATCTTTTCATTGGTTCCTTGCTGTGTGTGTACCACCATTCTGGTGACTATAGGGGTGCCTGAGCTGGCGGATACTCCAGTCCCACCCTCGGAGGGTTCTACTACGCATGTGCACAGATCTCCTCGAAATTTAAAGAGACAGTACCCACTTAAAACCAAGCGGCCGACAGATACTCAGCCCAAGAGCAGGCCTTGAACTTTTCTCGTTTGTTTTTTGTTCCTGTGTTTATTTAACACAGGAAAGAGAAGGAGAGGGCTGTAAGGAGGGAAAGAGACCTCATATTAGGCTACAATTTTTTTTT